CCTCTCTTGGAGCCATAGTTCCAACCTCCTCCTCGTCTCGATTGATTGCTTGATCCTTCATTATTCAAATTTTGTTTTCATCATTTGTTTCATTATTATGCCATAATTTCCCTGCGACCTCGACCACAAATTTGACCTCTTTCTCGAGATCGTCCTTTCTCTTTCTCGAGATCTCCTAAAGAGACCTTCTTTTGGAGAACTTGAGACGCCGGCTCGCCTTTTTTCTTCATTCTTTCCTCATATGCTTGCAAGGATCACATGAGTTGATCAAGAGTCATGGTATCCATGTCATTTGACTCTTCAGTGGTAATACTAATGAACTCAAGTTTTGAGTCAACCGATCTAAGAATTTACTCAATTGTACGACTTTCTTCAATATTCTATCCGTACCGCTTCATATGATTGACAATGGAGGTCACTCTAGTGAAAATAGTCAAAAACAGATTCAGACTCTTTCATGTACAGAGATTCGAAATCGCCACGAAGGATTTGAAGGCGAACCTTCTTTACCTTTCAAATATCCTTGAAATTATTCTCGAGAATCTCCCAAGCTTCCTTATATTTTGTTGAGGAAGCTGCTTTCTCGAACATGGCTTCATCTAAGCCCATGTGAATAATAGAGAGAGCGTGTTGATCTGACTTGTTGTTCCTTTGCAAGACATTTCTTTGAGCCTGACTTAAAGCTCTTTCATTCTCTAGTTCATCATAGCCTTTCTCTACAACTTCCCATGCATCCTGTGAGCCAAGCAATGCCTTCATGTGTATACTCCAATGTCCATAATTTTCCTTTATAAGTTTGGGAACAACAAAAGGAAATGAACTATTCATCTTTTCAAGAAGCTCTGATACCACTTTGTTGGAAATAAATAATTATGGGAAGAAAGGCTATAGAGAAAACACAAGAATTTCTCTCAAAAGATATTTGTATTCTATGGCTTGGCTCCATGAAATGTCTCATGCACAAGGCCTTTTATAGGTACAAAGGGTTCCCAAATATATTGTATAAATTCAAGAGACTAATTAATGATTTCTCCTACGTACTATGAATAATAGAATACAAAGAACCATATGGATACATGAATAAAATAAATACATAAATATTAAATAAGCTAATTCATGTATCAAAATTAATTTCCAACATTCATGAATCAAGTTTTAATTTCCAACAACTACAAGTAACATATTTTTTTAGAAAATAAAAATAAAAATGCACAAGAGCTCATTATTAATTAGTAAAACTTTTGCATTTGATGCAAATGAAAAGGAGGCTGGAGCAGATGTGGTAGGAGTGGAAAACAGAGAAGGTGATGTGGCAGTAGATGGAGTTGCAAATGAAACCATTATTTAACTTGTACTTACAGTTACATTTCATTATTGTTTTCAAATGAACCAAATCTAAGAGCCTCGTGAAACTGGGAAGAAATTTGTTGCAAGCTCTGTTGAGATTGGGCACCAACTGGGTAGTA